ACTATAAATTTTTCAGTTCCATAATATTTTGTCCTTTACTTTATTGTCCTTAAATGGAACAGTACAGTATTATAATGGACTAAACCACAACCAAATTCTTGATCCGCCACTGAACATAATGTAGGAGTTAAGCAAACTCAAAGAAATTTTAAAAATTTTTTTTAAATTTTAAGTTCGGGTTAAACTTGTAATATTAAAATGGTATGGCTATGGAAAATGTTAAACCCAAGAATCACGTTATCATCTCTAGACCAAAACCTGCCATCAGACGAAATACTAAACGAAAAGCGAAGCGAACCGAGCCGAGCCAAACCAAACCGAACTGCCCCATCAGCGACAGCATCTTAAGCTCATTTGTCACATAAAAATCATATATGTAATTTGCTTGACAACCAAAAGTGGACACCGAACGTCACGCGCCGGTGCAGCAAACGCCTCCATATTGGTGTAGGCTTTTGGCCAGGAGAAAGGTTGGGGATCGGATCGGGAAGTTGGGGATGGGATCACAAAGCTGGATGCTGAATGTTGGATGCTGGGAGCGTCGGTGATGAGCGGCGATGATGGCATCCAGAGTTGGGGCTTCAATCTCGGCGGCGCATGCGTTTTGGTGTCGCGTTGAGTGAGCGTTTCCTTAAATTAGCTGCACTTTGGATGCACCATTATATGCCGCTCGCCCAGGCACTTGATGTGGTGTCGTTGTCGTTGAGGTTGTCGTTGCCATGGTCTTGCTCTTGCACTTGGACTTCCCTCTTCGGAGTCCGTCATCATCATGGCCATTTTTGGGTGGGCATTAAGTGCCGGGCTCTCTGATGGAGTGTTGATGCCAGCCGAGGTCAGTTGGTAAGAAATTTATGGCCCCGCAATGTTTGCATGATGCATGATACTGCTGCCCCAGCATTCAGGTGGGCGCAATTGAGTTGGATCATAAAGTGCCACAAAAGAGAAATTACAACAGCCATCGCATAACTAGCTTTCTGTCAAAAGCAATTTACGGCGCTGATGGAATGAGCATATTTCGGGTGAGCGGCAAACAAATGAATCAGTTTTACAGTGCTCTCAGAACACTATGCCATATAACACGAAAGACTTACCGAATTAACGTTCTAGTGCGTGGGCGTACAATACAGTATTACGACTATTTAAACACTTTAGTTGTTAAAACTCTTTAGATTTTACAGATTTCGCACAATATGCTTTTTTCAAGCGCCTTTTGGGAGTTTCATATTATATTGCATACTTTTATGTTCGTAACGCCTACAAGTTTTGGTGTCAAGACCTTTTTAACAATCTTTAAAGGATTTTGGTGAGACCTTTATAATTAAAGTTCATTTCATTTGCTTATTGTAAAATTATATATGAAAAAAGCCATTTATTTTAAAATTTTCTGGTTTTAAGTCTTTTGAAGACTTTCAAATATTATTTTTTCAAATGTTATAAATATTTGGATATATATTTGGACTTTTAGTTATATATAGTTTTATTTTTTTATTTGTTTATTTTATTTTATTTTTTTTTTTGTATGCCTAACATTATATTAAAATTAATGAAGTTTGTAGAGCCAGTTTGATAAACCAAATTCCTAGAGTACTTACATTTTGTAATTAATGATATTCTATCGAATCATTATAAACTTTCGGAATTTCGACAGTAATAAGTTGAAAGATATTTAAAGTTCAAAGTCCCGGGTTACAAATCAAATTGTATGAACAGTTTTATTAATTAAAGATATTCTCTCAAAGCCTTTTATACTTTGAGAATTTCGACAGTAACAAGTTCAAAGATATTTCAGTGTCAGAACAAAGATGCTCAATCAATTACCAACCAATTTCCAACTTGACTTGCATCTTGGAAACGCGCAACTTGTAGCAACTTCCTCGTTGCACCTGGGAAGAGTGCAGTGAAGATATAGAAAAGGCAACTCTTACTCTCTCGCATCCGGTTCTCAGCGAGGGGAATACCTTCGGTAGAACCGTTTAAGCAATCCATTTAAACAACGAGACACTTCAAAGCGAAGCTGCTGAATGTCTATCTGCGCTAAATGGAAAAGCCCTCAACGGCTTAGGCAAACATTTGCAATTACAATTTTAGCATATAATTGCAAACATGATAAACACTTTTATCTGCTGCTGCTGTTCACTCTCAGCGAATGCGATGCAATGTGATGTGATGGGAGGCCGAGTCGAGGCAAACCCGGTCTGCAGTTGGGCCAGTTGGGCCAGGAGAGGACCAGGAGAACCAGGAGGAGCTGGACCTGGACCAGTCTGGCCACAACTCACGCAGCATCAGCAGGTTAGCCCGAGCTGCCAAGAAGAAGCGTGTCGCCAATTCGTGAGGTTTACCTAGAAAAATGTCGCGACAATTGTGCCCGCAAAAAGGAAAACTAAACGAAACGAACAAAGCAGAAGCCATCCAGAGATGAGTATTTAGCTAAGACCAGTAAGGGATTAAAAATATAAAAAAGGCACTACTTTAAGACCATTAAAAAAAATTAATGCTTTCCACAGAAAAATTAAAAGAACAAAAATTTGATGGATATATAAACGATTCTCTCATATCAAATTTAAATATAAAACTTGAGGGGTTAACGCAGCACATATAAAAATGCTATTACTTAAAGACCATTAAAAAATAAATGCTTTACACAGAAAGATTAAAAGAACAAAAATTTGAAGGACACATGTATACCCCATTCTCCCATATTAATTATATATAAAAAACTTCTAAAATTTGAGGGGTTAACGCAGAGCCATAAATAGTAGAGTTACATAATTCGAGTTGTTACTTCATATTCTTACTGTCGTTTAGGTTAATGCTAAGAATAAATTGTATCCGAGACACAAACTAATTTTTTAAATTAATATTTTTAAAACTTAATGAAACCTTAAATTAAGAAAATTAATGAAAAGAAACCTTGGAAAATGTAATGAAATGTTAGAGTTCTATGTAAAAATGTTTGACTTATACACAGTCGCGTTTCTTCAAATTTTGATATATTTCAAAAAGTTGTATCGTATCTTTATCTCAAAAGTTTATTAGTTAGTTGTTCCTTAGATATTTTTTGTATCTTTTGGAGTTAACTTTTTTTAGCTACTTTTAGCAACACCGTCAACTTTAGTCGGGCAAAGCTGAAGCTAAAGCTTTAGAGCAGAGCTGAAGGAACTAGCGGAGTATGCAATTGAAATTGAAGAATTACGCGAAGAATGTCAGCGAACATAGTAAATGTTGTACACATGGCCCAGCCCGCTGGCAGTGGATCCCGATCTGGCCAGAGGGTCGCATACATTAAGGCCGGTTTTCAGGGGACCAGGACAGAAAGATGGGATGGGGTTCCCAGATAGATGCTCTCAGCACGGGGAATTGTCACAAGCGGTTAATGGATCCACAGCTGATCGGAGGAGTCGCTGGAGTAGCAGCCCCCGCCATCATCTTTTTTTTTTCAGCCACGGCTTTGAGTCCGCGGCGGCATCTAAATGAACTAGAGATCAACTTCGTTTTAGTAGCCTTAGCCTCATTACGAATGGAAATGATGATGGACAATAATGACGCGACAACAGGAAGTCCAAGTCGTCGCTGCAATGCCGACGACAAGTCGTTAGCTCCGCTCGAGTCCCCATCTCGTCCCCATGGCGATACCAGCTGAATGAAAACCCCAATCGCAGAGAAGTCGAACGCGAACTCAAACTGGAACTGGGCTAGTGCATCGTTAAATTGATTTGTGTGTGATCCGATCCGCACAACTAGTTTCCGATGCCTGAGAAAGCACTGCGCGTTCTTCAGGCCTCAAAACAAAAAAAAAAAGAACAAAATAGTTTCTGTTTCAATATTTGTTTGAACATTTCAGAAATGCCACTTAAATGCCCGACAGCCGACTGCAGCACTGGGCTTCCGTTTATGGTAAGTTCTTGGCCTTATCATTGTCATAAGAGAGTTGTAAAGAATCCGGCGAATGTTAATGAGATGGGAATAAATCAACCTTTATGGCAACCTGAGGGGCCACAGAAATAATCTCCTTTAACCACTGCCACTGCCGTCCAGCAAATTGAGAAACAAATTTACGACAATTCGAGAATTGGCAGCCGTGGGGAACGGTTGAAAGCCCATTGCCAATTGCCAGGATTGTCATAATTTCGACAGGCCGACAATGGGAAAATGCAGCCAACACCCGCAACTTTCATGGGCTGGTACCGTTTTCAGCCCGGCTGCCCTGTCCGCCTGGCAATAGAAATTAAAGTTAACAAATTTCCGACAATGTTTGGACAGTTTTGCAGCAAAAAAGAAGTTAGAAACCAGCCAACGAAACACAGAACAAAACGGCTACAACAGCAAATGACGCCGAGTACCGTAATTGTGGCTCTTTCGGGTTCTTTTGTCCGCATTCAAAGTTGTCAGATAAATGGGGAAAAACCAGGAGAGAGCGAGTGGCTGGGCGGCAGGAGAATAAATGCACTCAAAGAAAATATTTGTGAATATGTTTGACTAGAAAATTTAAGGAAGTATATATAAAGGGTGTCAAAAGAGCTAGAATTGATAAGAAACTAGATACCTTTCAGAAAGATATCTATTCTTAAAGGTCTTTCTTTAATCCTTTTAATTTTGTCCTAAATCTATTAAAAATTGTTTATATTTAATGAATATATATAAAACATATATAGTGCATTACAAAAATGAATGAAAAAAATACATTGGAAGATTTGACCAATATAATAAATATATAATAATGAATAATTCCTATTTCTCTTATGAATAAGCTACTCTCAGAACTACAAAATGCAAACACGTACTATTTTATGGTACTATTTATGGTATAATACTATTAAATTGTAGCCCAGTCATCAAAAAAATATAGTATTCTATTTTACAATTCTATTAAATTGTAGTCCAATCATCAAAAAAATATAGTTTTCTATTTTCAATGGCCCTAAATCAATAAAATTTATTGATGTGTATGTATTTAGCAGATAAAAAATTCTTAAAAAGTAATTTTTCAACTTTTCCTAAAGTTATTCTAAGTGTAGACCTATTGCAGATCGCTTAGCTGACAATGCAACTCGTAGGTAGCCGGGCCGGCTTCCTTCCATCAGCCAACGCAGACGCCCCAAAGGCCTAAAAGTTGCCGCCAACTTCCAATTGCCAAACATTTCTCCACCGCCCCTTCCACTTCGGATCCTTCTTTTCCAGCGGATTTCTTTGGGATTTGCCGGATTGGAATTGCAGGAGGAGTCTTGGGCTCCGAGCTGCGAATGTGTGTAAAGTTAAGTTGTCGTCGCCGTTGTTCGATGAATCGTGATTTTGTCAATTGGAGCTCAAATTTTTTTGTGCTCGGTCCCCTTTGTGAATGTGAAAATGTGGCATGGTGGCTTGGTAATGGGAAACGTAGAATGGGTGTGGGAAAGGCAATTAGAGCGATGGAAAGTGCCGTCTAGTTCTAAATCGAATGGGAACCGATCATGGGGAATCCAGTTACCAGTGCAGCTTTAACCTCATTTTTGCTAGGGTTTTTGGTATCCTTTGTAAGATAAAGAAATCATGGTGTTTCACAGCTTTTTATCTAGTTTAACCAAAGATCTTTCTATATTTTTATAAGTCCTTAAGTAAAGTCATCGATTTTTTGACACACAAAAACCTTTAGAAAGTAAACAAAATAGTGACTGTCGGAAGGCAAGATCAGAAATCAAATATTGATGAGTTATGGTTAAAGTGAAGAGACCGAGACATAAGTTAACACTTTTTGGAGGAACTCAGAAATTAAGCAGCGATCTCAGCTGGCACTTGGCCAGAATGATCACTGATCACACAAACAGAACGGTTTTCGGTTTGTTTGCCTTTGACAAACAGAAAGGCAAAAGGGAGAACAGAAACGAATCTCAAATAAATCAACACATGCCACAAATGTATAAAAGATGTGAAGGCACCTCGACCCAACTCCATTGCGGCTGCAGGCCTCATAATCATATTGATGTATTACAATAGTTTGTGGAAGTGCCGAGCCGACTCAACTCAACCCAACTCGACTCGACTCTTTCAGTTGTAAAAAGCGCTCGTAAAACCTACAAAAACATGGCTGAGAACGCGCCCAACAGTTACAAAAGCCAAATGAGTTGGGGCATAAGCCAAGAAAAACAAGCCAAGAATGCCTTGGCCAACAGATAAATAATGGAAATGCATACTAATTAAATGGTGAGAACTGTGTGAGGCTTTTCCTAATTATTTGCACTCCAGAGATCTAAGATTGCATCTCTCGTAGCTTATTATCATTAGTAAATCATTCAGTATCATCGCTATCAGCATCTCAACAAGATGTTAATTTTGAAGGAGCAGAGTGTGTCGAGTCTAATTGCGTGTGTCAATAGATTCGGTGTGGCTTTCAGCTTCGTTTTTTAACATTTCCCCTTTAATTGATTCCAATGAGATGATAATTACCCAAGAAAAGGCAATTAATGCAAGAGGTTCACATGGGCAAAATGGGAAACAACGAAACCGATTTTAATGAAATGATTTTTCATAATTAATGAAATTTAATGCAGACCCAGAAATCAACGTTCAGCTCTCAGCGCCGAACAGAAGTTCCCACATCATTAATAAAAAGTAAAACCCAAAAAAAAAGGAAAGAGACTGGCGGAGACACACACGATGTGGCCGGGGAGTTGGCGCTACCAAAAGCTGAAATTCAAACGAACTCGAGCAGCAGATACAGAGTTACAAATGTATCTACAAGTCGACAAATTATGCAGCGACAAGCAAGCGCAACGGCCGGAGATTCCTTCTTATCGAGCATGTTCTTTTAGGATTGCCTTGGTTTTTGGTGAAAATAAATTATAAACAGTTGGAAATTAAGTCGAACGTTTTGTCCGCTGTCCGTTTAGTGGAAATTTATTGGCCGGGAATCTCCGGCTACTACCTGAACGAAGACTTTGATCTGCGGCCGGATTAAGCTCCCCAATTCCCGCTCAGCGGCTTCACACTCTATTAGCCATCGGCTGCAGCTGAGCAGGCTTTCCTATCGATCGGTTGCATCTATAAGCGTTTACTCAAATACTTTATCGATCTCATTTGCATAGTCCACAAAATAGATAAAGCTTATGAGTATATACTTGGCTTCTTCAGTTGCGGTGCCTCAAAATGTTCTCAGCTCATAAAATTCCACAGTGAATCATTGTCCCCCTCCTCCGGTTTCCAAATCCGAATCTGAATCCGAATCCGAATGCGAAGACTCAAACCCCAGACTCGGAGCTCTGATCTCTGGGGCCTGCATTTCATTTATTGTGTAATTCCCTGCAATGTACCTTTCGTTGCCACGGATTTCTTGTCTTCGCCTTTGAATTTGATTCTTGATTTTACGTCAGTTTATTTATGATAAGATGACCTTTTTTCTTCATTTTTCAACTGGCTTCGTCTTACCCTCTCTTTTATTATTTATTTTTTTGGACGTCCCGAAAGAAGGAGTTTCGGTTCTCTAGTTCTCACTCGATCTTCAGTCTTGCTGCATGAATGAATGGATGAATGAAGCTCATTAAATTATGGATCACTTATGTGAGGGGCTGGGAATCTGCCTGGAGAAGATATTGAAATGTGAGTAGGATGCACTGGAAGATAAAGATTTCGAGGGGAAATCAAGTGATGTTATTAGGGCCATTAAAAAACTGATAAATCTACAAATGGGTAGGTCTTATAACTATTTTATTATATAACATTAGTATCTTAATTTTTACTTCATAAGCTTGGCTATATCATTTTAGCTTGTTTATTACTTTGATTTTCTTGAAATACACGTTTTATACTATATATCCCCGAGTAAAACCCTTCTTCAAACAAGTACATAGCTACAATTTTCGATCATGAGACGGCCAAGACCATTCAAATCCTCATGTAGCCTCGGCTTACTATTTTGGATTTCGAATCGGAGCGGAGATTTGAGCGCTGTTGTTTTGGCTTCTTTTTACAGCAGATTTTCAAGATCAACAACGCAGCGTCACGAGAAGAGATGAAAAGCGAGATCTTTTATGGCGATTAGTGCAAGACAATGAATGCACGATGGATTCGGAAAAAAGAACACAGAAACAGACAAAAATACAAATACTAAAAAAAGAACATTTTCAAACCCGAGTGACAGAGACGGAGACAAGGCAACCAGAATGAGAACAAGAACACTGAGTTGTTGATCTTTTTCTTACTTTGGTTTTATTCGTTTTATGAGAATTGAGCCAAACAATTTTCAACGCGCTCAGACAAAAGCATAAATGCGGAATGAGTCTGGCCTGGGACACTTCACTTTGTCTTTTATACTTTTTTTTTGGTTTTCTGACGGTCTTTTTGGGGCGATATTACTGTCAACGAATGTTCCCATTGCTTATGTTTATCCAAACATAATTGAAATGCCTCCTCAATGGGTTAATTTGATGTGGAGCAAGGGGCTAACGTAAACACAATTAGGTGCCAAAAAAAGGGAGGAGTACGAGTGGAGATCTCCACTCGCGAGCATCACCACACGGGCCAAGATGAAATGACAAAATCTAGAGTAAACCAACTTGATAAACAAACAAAGTGGACGATCATTGATGATGGTCTGTTTGGGACCCAAGTGCGTGCGACGACCTAACAAAATATTGTCTTAGTCCATTTTAATGGTTTAACCCCTTGAGCTCATCGGTCCGATGCATCTTTGCCGCAATTGTCTCTGGTAAGCGATACACCGGCCATCTCCCACTGCAGTGCACCTTGGGTACCATTTCCCCTCCTGCTGGCTTTAATGACTCGCCAGTTTGGATGCAAAGCTTACACTCGGGTGAAAAACTATTTCTATCGGCGGGAAGTCTCTCCATTTAGCTGACCTGGTACTTCGATTTGAATCCTAACTAAGATTAAGTCAGAAATTATTTGGAATTATTTATAACTTTTTTTAAGCAACGATTAAAACACATTTTTATTATTATATATTAATAGTTCTTGGATCGTTATTATCGTTATTTCTTCTATTAATTTGGATCTTAAATTAGGAGAATAGGTTTGAAGTTTAAGATTCTTTTCTCTATTACTTAAGATTTAGAACGGACCTTGTGCTTCGAATTTGGATCCTAACTAAGATTATACGAGGTATTATTTAAACCTATTTATAACTTTTAAGATTTCAGTACTTTTGACATTTTATGTCTTTATATCCATGGTTAAGATACAATAATATTATTATATATTAAGAGTTTTTGGATCATTTTTATCGTGATTGGTTCTAATAATTTGGATCTTAAAAAAGGAAAGCTAGTTTTGAAGTTTAAGATACTTTTCCAGTCATTGAATAGATCTTTAGAACTGATCTTGTTTTTCGAATTTGTATCCTAACTATCTAACTAATCCTTAAGTCACAAATATTATTATATATTAAGAGTTTAAAGATCAATATCATCATGATTTATTCTACTACTTTGGATCCTAAGCTAGGAAAGATAGATTTGAATTTTAAGATACTTTTCTACATTATTTATTATAAGATACTAAGTTCTTCATATCATTCCCAGTTAGATCTACCATCAAGAGTATTCCTTCTATAAATACTATTTTTCGCCGTGCAGAGTTGCTTAATTAGGCAGCATCAGCGACAGAATCTCGACCTGGACGCCGTCTCGTCGCTTGTTTCTCCTTTAGTACCGCCGCAACGCTCAGTTAGTAAATCAGACAGATACGCACTCGGCGGGCAGGCAACTTCATTAACAGCCTCTCGGCCAGGCCGTTTAAAAAGTAGAAATAAACTATTATTTATGATTATTGTGAGAATTTCACAATGGCATGCGAGAATTTATTGTTAATGCTCTGTAGCTCTACCCGCCACTCTGCGGTGCGTTGAGTATGGTGTGTGATTTGTTGTAATTTCTAAAAAGATGCAGCACAGTGGTTGTATTCTATGCATGTTATTTTCTTGTTACAATGTCGCAGAATTACTGAATATGGGTTTTAAAATTAAAGATTTATTTAATAAAGTATTCGTTAGGAAACAAATTAAAATCTAGGAACTGAGGCCATTAAAATATAGGCAAATTGCTTCTATTAGTATCTTAAATTTGGAAATGTAGATACAATACTTACCCACCATGATTACTATATAGACCGATATTTAACTGATTGGTTCCACTGTACTTAGCCACGTTAA